TCTCTGTCACTAAACGCTGCGTCCCGCTGGAAGAGTGCTTATCCACTGGCTGCAGAGACTCTGAGCATGAAGGCCACAAGGTCTGGGCAACAAAGCAAGTGACCGGTAGCGTGTAGCCAGCCTCCCTCCTCTTCAGATGCCTGCAGCACTTACGAGCAGATTCTTATCCCCCCCGCCCACGTAGGCTGCCTTGTGACTGTCCTTATACCCTTATGAAAAGATGCTTTCTTTTCTGGTTGCTCTCAAGGAATACAAATGTATACCAGATCATAGGACAACCAGTATAAATTGTGTAAACACACACCAAGAGGGTATTAAAAATTATTGAAGCCTTTTCTTCACTCAGAAGAAAGTAATAAAGCTAACAGAAGGAAGAGGAGCAAGGGACCAGTTACGTCCATCATGGCAAAGCGCTGTGGATGCACCAGCTCGCTCTCCAGAGGGGGGCTGAGGCGATTTAGCTATAATACCTTCCTGTGCGGTGGGGGCTTGCGTCTTGACTGGGATGTCAGTTTGGGGAGGGTCTCCATTGGCTCTTGAGTTATTTGTAGGTGACAGAGACCATCTTTCTGTGGATTTGCACCCCTTAAACTTCATCTGGGGCTTGTATGCAGAAGTACCCAGTGTAAATGAACTTTAGCAGCAGCCTTGAGGAAGCATTTAAGAGTCAGAGAGAGGCAGCCAGACCTTGCAGCACGGAATGCCCCAGATGGCCCTGCTGGTGGTTCAGGGTCTGCTTTCTGCATGACCTCAACATGCCAGCCCTTGGTCTTCCTGGTACATCTTTCTGTTTCTCCCAGTAGGCCACCTTCCTGGTGGGGTGGGGCACTGCCCACTTTCAATGCCTTGGAGCAGCCTTGTCAGTAAGAGCTTCTTTTTCTTAAGAAGGTAGACACCTCATCTTCAAGCAACTTCTCTAATACACTAAAAATTAAATTTTAAAATATAATCCGCCTACTTGCTCCTGGCTTGACATGGGTAAAACCCAGAGCTTTACCTGGCCCTCCAGCAAGCTCGGCTTAGCTCTTAGGCATTGCATGGCTCCTTTACCAAGGAGAAAATTGAGGATCCCATAAGTTATGTCAGGGGCTCAGGTCACACTGCTAGCAAGTGACAGGGACCGAATTCAAACTCACTTCTGACTTCCAGTCTTTCTCTTCAGCATTATACCTGCCTCCCTAACCCAGGTCAACTGTGGTCAAAGACTCAAGTCTCTGCAGGTTAATGACCATGTAGGATATTAACTATCCCGTGACTATGAATCACCGGGGGATCTTGTTAAAATGCAGATTCTAATTCTCTCAGTCTGGGGCAAAGTTCAAGAGTCTGCATTTCTAATGAACCCCCAACTTATGTGGAAGCTACTGGTCCATACTTTGTATAGCAATGACCAAAAATAACTCCTGTCACTAACCCTGTGCATTTATTTCTTGTGATCCAGGAATAGAAAGCAGGAGCAATTGCGTAAATGAAAACCCTTCAAACTTTAACTTACCCAGTGAGAACGGAGATAATTACGCAGATAGTTCTAATTACAGTAAATATTCAAGTTTAAATTACCTGGGTTGTTGCCTCTCTCACTGTGAAAACCTAGCAAATGAAAGTTTAGCCAATTAACAACATTCTCAAGTACTCAGAGTTTGTTTGAAAAAGGAAAGGCAAGTTGCATTACCCCTTTTCACAGTGGAAGAGCTGAGGCCTAGGAGGGCTGTAAGGACCACATGGTGGGATGTCCAAAACAGACCCCTTGACCTTGGTGCTGGGGAGTTTTCATTTTGACCAGCTTGTTTCTTGGCGAAATATTATCCCCAGCCTTCCTAAATGTAAGGGTTAGTGTTTCCTTTATAGTACAGGTAATTTTCATTCAAGTCTTGCCATGAAAAAGACAATTCCTTAGAAAACCCCCGCTTCCTCCCAAGACCTACCACTTTCTCATCCTCTCTTTTTTTTTCTCTTCCTGTCTTCCAGGTCTGCACTTCCTG